TGGGAGGGACGGGGGAGACACTGGGCTCAGCTGGGGGGCACTGGGAGAGACGGGGGAGACACTGGGGTCAGCTGGGGTGCACTGGGAGGGAGGGGAGAGGGCTTGGAGGACATTGGGAGGGACTGGGATGGCACTGGGAGGGACTGGGAATAGAGTGGGGTAGAAGGGTCTGGGCTGGGGGGCACTGGGGAGAGAGTTGGGAGATGTGGGAGTGAAGTGAGAACGACTGGGAATGGACTGAGACGGTCTGGGAGTAGAGTGAGAGGGATTGGGAGTGACTGGGAGTGACTGGGAAGGACTGGTGTGGCCTGGGAAGGAAGCGCTCGGGCCTGGGAGGCTGAGTGGTGGTGAGGGAAGTGTTTGCTTTGGGTCTGCCTGGCAACTGGAGCGTCATCAGAGACACGCGCTGGGATTGGCTGAGGGGCGGGAGCTCGGTGGCCCCAGCGGGGTGGAGACGCGGGGGGGCACTGGGAGAGACTGGGATGGACTGGGAAGAACTGGGAGGGGGCCAAAGGGCACGGGGATGTGCACAGGGAGGTCTGAGGAGTCTGGGATGATTCCAGGGAGGGTTTGAGGGGCACCGGGGTCATTCCCGGAGCAGGGCCCGAGGGGACCCGCTCTGCCCCACGCTCACCTCTCCTCTCCACGCTGAACGGGGTGACGATCCTGTAGTTGTGCCGGCAGTACCTGTCCACCTCAGCCTGAAACCTCTCCAGGATGTCTGGTTGGCTGTTCACGTACCTGGCCTGGATCTCCCCAAACGTGGTGTCCCCCACAAACACCCCGACATCGCTGTCGAAGTGCATGTACTGCTCCCTGTTGTAGATGTACCTTTGCACGTACCTCACCCGCTCGGTGCCGTTGATGAAGTGACACTCGTCCTTTCCCATCCACTGGAACACCCCTGTGTGTGCCGGACACGGGTCAGGGGGTGCGTCGTCCCCCCCGTCATTTCCCAGGCCCCCCACTGCAGCTTAGGGGGCCATCCCGGAACCCCCTTTCCCACCCACCTCTGCCCCACGGACGCCCCAGCACCGGGTCTTGGGTGGAGGGGAACCCCCCCATCAGCCCCCCGGGGATGGACAGGGGAGTTGGGGACCCCCCCAATGCGGATCCCACCCCCCAGAGCCCCAGGGAACCGCTCCAGGGCTCAAGGGACACCCGGGGACCCCCAGGGCACCCCTCTGCCTGCTCTCCCACACCCCCTTTCCCCCCTCTCCCACCCCTTTCCCACC